TGGTAAAACCATTCCTTAAGAAACCTGGCCTGGATTTGGAAAACCTACCTAAACACCAGCCAGTTGCTAATCTCCCTTTCCTGGGCAAGGTTCTGGATTGAGTGGTCGCAGACCAGATCCAGGTACTTTTGGAAGAAACGGATTTTCTGAATCCATTTCAATCGGGGCTTAGGCCTGGTTTTGGCACAGAAGTTGCTTTGGTTGCCCTATATGATGACCTCTGTCGAGAGAGAGACAAGGGAAACGTGTCCCTGTTAATTGTTCTCGACCTCTCAGTGCCTTTCTATACCATTGACCATGGTATCCTTCTGGAGTGACTCTAGGGGTGGGTGGTGCCGCTATACAGTGGTTCCAGTCCTACTGAGATGGTCGTTCCCAGAGGGTGCTACTTGGGGAGTATTTTCAGCCCTGTGGAACCTTCAATGTGGGGTTCCACAGGGCTCAATCTTTGTATGTGTGTGTGTGGTTACTTTAGATTTTTTGTTTTAATTTTTATTTATTTATTTATACTTATACATCATACAAACAAGCATTGAATAAAACAAACAAATAATACAAAACCAGAAGAAAATACAAAAGCAAAATTACAAGGATATAAACATAATAACATAAACTACAATTGAAAATATAAAACATTATATTCTCCTAAAAATAAAAAGAACGAAAAATAATACAAAAAAGGAAGCTTCACTACAGGTGCTCTGTGTGACTAAAGCTTCACTGCACACATCACATTCCACAACCTTAGAACATGGTTTCAATGTGATTCCCTTCACACAACCCTGGCATTTTAGCAACAGTTCTAAAATCGACACGAGCTAATCTTCTGTGGTATATAAATGAACACACTGATTATGAGGGGCACAATTAGCAATTGTGGATTTTGCTTGGCTTGGCTTGCTACCTCATCCTTCTTAAGATTGCCCTCCTGAGGCTCAATCACATGTAAGGAATCTTGCAAATGTCCTGCAGCATAAAACTCTTCCCTTTTTCTAATTTCACATGCATCACCATCAAAACATATTTCAAATCCTGATTTTGCCAATTTAATCAGACTCAACAAATTAGACTCCAGCTGTGGAACATAAAAAACCTCAAGCACTTCATTCCTTAAACACTTAAGCTTTACCTTTCCAATGCCAGATACAGGAATGTTACCACCCCAGCTAGTGCCATAGCTTGACATTTCACATATAGTTCAAAAAGTCAAATTGTGTCTTATCATTACACATATCACCCAATGCCCCCAGGTCCAAGACCCACCAACCTGAAGTATTACTCAGTCTTGTGATTAAGGCTTTATTCATCTCGGTGTCACATTTTCCAGATTTAGTTCTCCATCTTGCACCCCAGTCTAGTTTCTCTTGCTTGTCCTGTGTTTTTTTCTTCTGTAGCAATGGACAGTCTTTCTTCAAGTGCTCTTTTGAGTCAGAATTAACACATTTCCTCACTTTCAAGGCTGTAACTTCAACAGTAGTCGCTGTTGTAAACCTGCCACCACTGCATCTCCTTGAAGATTTACTGCCTATTAGCACTGACAGTGTCTCTCTGCTATCAGCCCATTCCCGGAGCTTTCCCCATTCAGTCAGCAATTTTCCTGTTACCCCATTCAACGGTCAGGTCCTCTTCATCTTTGCCTTCTAGTAAAGTTGAAATGGCATAATTTTCATCAAAGCTTGACAGGATTATGTATATTTGGGATATGGGTGTGAAGCTGAATCCATGCCCCAAAAGATCTCCAAGTGTCTGCAAGTGGTCAGGCAAAGACACCCCCTGGCTTTAAATGTTGCTGGTATAATTTGTGAGTCAGTAAAACTTTACTGCCCGGGGTCACACTAAGATAAACATTCTGCAAGGCTTTCTATATTGTTTTGGTTGTTGTTTGAAACCGGATAATTGAGATCTGTGAAGCCTCAACTCCCAAAGTAATACTTGCCTGTGCTTTCCCATCATACATTTGCCATTTTTCAAAGTCATCATCATCATCTTCATCATCTGCAGGATCATTTGGACGACAGTGGATGCCACAAGGTTGAAGCAGATGGATATTTGTGGATGCAAACTGGTTGACATTCACCTTTGGAAGCCCATTGACAGAAGTTGGCAGGCTGAAGCCAAGGGCAAAGTTGCTGGGCAGAAGCCAGTGGAGGTGTCTGAGTGGATGCTGTTGGATGGTAGCCATCCCACTCAGCGTGTTTGCCTTTCAGGGACGTCCGAAGCCGGTGAGGTTTTCCGCAAGACCATCCATAGAAGTCATGAAGAGAACTGCAGGGTTTAAGCCAGCCAGCTTCTGCTTTCTAAAGAAACAAATGCCTTTCCTAAATTATTTCTAAATACAAGGTCTTTCTGAAAACAAATTATATGGGAAATCAAGCTCTCTAGGATCATAGGGCGCCCCTCCCTGGTAGCCGTGTGTTGTAAGAGAATCTTTGTTTTCCGTATATCCTGGTCTGGTCTCTGTTTATTTCCTGACCGGCTTGAGCCTACAAGACGCGCTCTTTCCAAAGGTCCAGTGTTCCTTAAGAAGCTGAACCCCTTAACAGAACCTTTTTTTCGTTTATTTCATCGTGTCACAGGAAGAAGGGGCAGTATCCACTTGTGACATCACAGGAAGTTATAGACGTCAGTTAGTGATGAGTGTCATTGCTTTGGTTGTGTTCTATGCGAGCAGGAGGCTTCTCCCAAGGTTTACACTGACCCTTGAACAGCACATTCCCTGTTTGCTGCAAACCTTGGGAGCTAGCAGCATGGTCAACTCCTGTTTTTGTCTGGAAGACAGTGAGAAGGCAGAATCCAGAAGTTGCCAGATAGAGAACAGCAGAGTGGATGGATTAGTACTTGACACACCAGCAGGAATTTGGACGCTGGTAGACAATCATCAGGAACCTCCTTATTGAGTGATGGCTTTGCATGAAATGGCTTGAACAGGTACCTTCCTGCTCCTGTGTGGCACTCCAGTTGACCATCTGCTGTGGTGAGGTCTGCAGGGCCTGCTCCCTTACAAGGCCTTACAAATGGAAGCCCATTGACAGAAGTTGACAGGGCAAAGTGAGGAGGGAAGTTGTCTGATGCAGCCAGTGGAGGTGTTTAGGTGACAGTGGCTGCCGCAAGGCTGAAACCGGCTGATATTTGTGGATGCAAGCTGGTTGACAATTCACCTCTCTTGAGGTGAATTTGGCATGGTCCACACCAAGGACAAAGTTGCTGGGCAGAAGCCAGTGGAGGTGTCTGGGAGGATGCTGTCAGATAGTAGCCATCCCACTCAGCTGTTTGCCTTTCAGGGACGTATGAAGCCGGCGAGGTTTTCCCCGAGACCATCCATGGAAGTCATGAAGAGAACTGCAGGGCTTAAGCCAGCCAGCTTCTGTTTTCTAAAGAAATAAATGCCTTTCTAAATTATTTCTAAATAGAAGGTCTTTCTGAAAACAAATTATTTGGAAAATCAAGCTCTCTAGGATCATAGAGCGCCCCTTCCTGGTAGCCGTGTCACTGGAAGAAGGGGCTGTATCCACTTGTGACATCACAGGGAGTTGATAGGCGTCAGTTGGTGACATCACAGGGAGTTACAGATGTTGATTAGTGACATCACAGGGAGTCTGTAGCCCATGGCAACAGCTGGGGGGGCACCTCATTTTTAATTAAAAATAAAAATGACTGCTGAGGTGCCTTCACAACAAAATGTATGCAATTTTTATGAAAGAAATAACAACGGTATTATTAGGAGTCCAGGTTCCTGTCTTGATAACACAGTAAACGTATGTAATTAAAAGGAGGAATTATTGCAAAAACAAGCAATTAGCTCCGGATGGCTCTAGCCAAGCCTCCGGCACCCTCAGTCAGTTGACCCTTCTAAAGAATCCTTCCGTTTCTGACAGAATTAACTCAACCTATGACCTTTGCATTTCTAATGTTGTTTCCTGTCAAACACCCTCCCCCGGAGATGACTTGCTGGCTCCTTGGATCCTCTCCTTCTTCATGAGAAGACAGGTTGTCAATCTTCTCCTTCACACCTGCCTGTGCCTCTTGAGAGCCGTGTCCCGCATTCCAACATGGTCTCCATGAGAGAAATCTGATCCCGTCGGTTGCAAACTGCGGTCTGCTGCCGGCTGCATTCCTAGGCTGGGAGCTAGTGTATTCATGACAGGTATAGTTTTCGCTGGCAGTTTTCCCTCAGTGGAAACTTCTGTGGGGCGGAGAAAGAAAGCACGTCCATTAGCCAGCCACGCCGTCAGGGGTCCGCTCAGTGCCGCAATGCAACTCCAACTCCCATCATCCCATCTCCAGCGTAGTTGACGGCGCTAGCATTTGGACGACGGTGGATGCCGTAAGGTTGAAGCCGATAGATATTTGTGGAGGCAGACTGGTTGACATTCATCTTTGGAAGCCCATTTGGCCGATGTTGACAAGCCGCAGCCAGATGTTGGTTAGTGACATCACAGGGACTCCATAGCCAACGACAACAGCTGGGGGGCCCACCTCATTTTTAATTAAAATTAAAAATTGATTAAATTAATTAAAATTGATTAAATTAATTGATTAAATTAATTAAAAATTGATTAAATTAATTGATTAAATTAATTAAAAATAAATAAATTAAAAATAAATAAATTAAAAATAAATAAATTAAAAATAAAAATGACTGCTGAGGTGCCTCAACAGCAAGCTGTGTGCAATTTTTATTAAAATTAAAATTATAAATAAGAACGGAAGAGTTCTCGCCCGCAGCTCAGGGGGAACCTCTGTGGGGAGGAGAGAGAGAGCGCGTCCCATAGCCAGCCACGCCCTCAGGGGGCCGCTCGGCACTTCAACTCCCATCATCCCCTCTACGGCGCGGCCGGCGGCAAAGCATGACGGGAGTTGTAGTACCTCGGAATCCGGCGGTTTCCCGCCCAAAAAAACCGCCAACCGGGGACTGAGAATGGGGCAGGCCGTTCGTTCCTCCCGCCTACTGGCGGCGCTGCGTTGAGGGGAAGCGGAAGCTGCCGCCTGCCGGTCTCGCGATGCGTCTCCTGGGCTTCCCGCCGGGTAGGCGCTGCGGCGGCAGTGCGCCTGCGCAGTTCGGCCTCCGCCGCTTCCCCCCCCCCCCACGCCCGCTGCCTCCGAGCGCCGCTCGCCTTGTCTGTCTGTCTCTCTCCGGAGCCATGGCTGGGGGGGCGCCTGTCCAGGTGAGGCTGGGGGGGGCGGGAGGAGGCACACACTTGACGCGAGGCCTTGTGGGAAGCAGGGGGCGGGAGGAAGACTCAGCCCCCCCTTGTTTTACCTCAGAAATCTCAGAGGGGGGGGAGGGTCGCCCCCCCGCTTTGTTCATTTCCCACCCCGCCCCCCAAGTCCCTCCAGGCCTCCCCTCGGGCCTCAGGGAAACGAGGGAAGCCCCCGCGGAAGCGAGGAAGGACCCTCCCCGTTTGTTTATTGTTTGTTTATTGAATTTATATAGCGTCCTATATCTGGAGGTCTCCTTTTTATAAATAATTTTTATTGAATTTTACATCATTATTTTTTATCGCGATACCCGGAGGTTTCAGGGCGGTTCGCAGAATATAATAATAATAATAATAATAATAATAATAATAATTTTGGCTGGGTTTCCCCAGCCACTCTGGGCAGCTTCCAACAAAAGATTAAAAATAAATTAAATCAGTCAATAAAAACTTCTCTAAACAGGGCTGCCTTCAGATGTCTTCTAAATGTCAGAATATAAAAATATAAAATAGAAAGCCACAATATATATAATCAAAATATAAACAATAACACCCCACCCCAAAAAAACTCATTTTAAAAGGGCATTTTAGTGTCTAGTCAGTGAGTTCTCCACGCCCACAAGCGGAAGAGGCGAAGGTCCTGTTCTCTCAGTGGGGGAAGGGGGCAACTCCAGAATTCCTTAATAGTCCCAGATTCTGGAAAAGGGAAGAAAAACCACAGGTCTAGGATGCTATTTGTTTGTTGGTTTGTTTTTATGAGGTGGGGTGGGTAGCACCAGACCCTCCACGTGTCCCTGTTTTCCAGGGCCGGTCCCTGGCATTCCTGTTATCAAATGTTGGAGGGTATGGGGTAGGCGTCATGTGGCGGGATAAATTATTCCCTCCACATGCCCAACATTTTTATGCCACCTGGTTGCAGAAGTCCATCTGGGTGGTTCACAAGGTAAAAAGCACACCCCTCCTCGAATCCCCGCGACGGGGTGAGCTCCCGTTGCTCGGTCCCTGCTCCTGCCAACCTAGCAGTTCGAAAGCACGTCAAAGTGCAAGTAGATAAATAGGTACCGCTCTGGTGGGAAGGTAAATGGCGTTTCCGTGCGCTGCTCTGGTTCGCCAGAAGCGGCTTCGTCATGCTGGCCACATGACCCAGAAGCTGGACGCCGGCTCCCTCGGCCAATAAAGCGAGATGAGCGCCGCAACCCCAGAGTCGGTCACGACTGGACCTAACGGTCAGGAGTCCCTTTACTTTTACCCCACATCCAATAAGAACCATGAAAAAAGACTCTGACAGAGTTCCTTTCTTGCATTGCTTCACTTGCTGCTGATCATCACATAAGAAGTGAGGACAAAGACAAATGCAGTTAAAGGTCACAAAGGGAGAAGCTTCTCTTGTGACTCACGCAGTAGCAATGATGATTAAATTGCATTTTGTCTCTTGTCTCATGTTGACTAAAGTCCATAATAAGGGTGGGGGCAGAGCAGTGACCCAGCTTGATTCCTCAGACTGCCAGTTGTATGTATCGATACCCAACCATTCACTGGGTTTGTTCAGTACTTGCAAAATTACCACTTAACTGGCAGTATTTTTGCACCCATTTTGCCCAAGCATATGTTGCTGCCTCTGACATTTCAGAAGGAGAGAATGGGGTGGGAGGTGGGAAGGATTTTTCTGATGTCATCTGAAACGCAAGACGGCCACTGACTTTGGGTTTCTGTCTCCGCAAAGCAGGCTATGGAGTGTGATGCGGAGCCAAGGTCTCTCCTGCCTTTCCAGTCCCTTGTGAACCTGAAGCAGGCCACTACGCGGGAGATGCAGGTGCAAACGTCCGAGGCTTCCATGTGGGCGGCGGTGGCGGCCATCCAGGCCATCGACAAAACGGTTGACAACCACACCATGCGCTTGCTGCGCTTGGAGGGCAGGATGGGCTCAACAGAGAAGAAGCTGGGAGCCTGTCAAAAGACCTCAACTGAAGTGGAGACCCAGCTGGAGAGCAAGTGGGCTGCGCTGGGGACCTTAACTGAGGAGTACAGGCAGCTCCAGAAGAGACTGGAGAATGTGGAGAATCTGCTGAAGAATCGGAACTTCTGGATCCTGAGATTCCCCCCTGGTGTGAAGGGAGAAACGCCCAAGGTTAGGAGTATTATTAATATCCTTTATTAAATTTGTTTGCCGCCCTCCATCCATTGATCTCAGGGCAGTTCACAACATAAAATGACAATATAAAAAACACAAAATGCCATCAGCCAAAGGCTTGGTTGGCACCTAAAGGTGTATAAGGAAGGCTTTCATGCAAGTGCAAAACATTCTGCTACCAGAGCTAGCAAACATTATTCATGCTTACTGCATGTAATTTTGCAAATTACTCCAGTGCTATAGATGCAAACAATATTATTTTGGACTGCCAGGAATAACTTGGAGCCATGCAAATATTTTAAAACCCAACTATGAAACCTCCCTGTAGTCATTTGAAGTCTATCCAGAATTCTCCTCCATAGCTCATTCCAGACTCAAGAGATCAGTAAGCATGCTGTTTTTTGTACTGAATGCATAGATCTGTGATTCACAGTGCACTATTAATGCCCCCAAAATTCTTCTTGGCTGCCTCCTTGGGCTTTCTGTGGGAATGCTAGAGGTTCTTCCTTTTCCTTGGGTCACAGCACCAAACAGAAAGTTGCTATCACAGTATTCCCCACATCTGTATTCCTGAATAATAGACATGCTTTCCAGATGTTTTAGCTCTCCTTGGCAGTTCACACTGTTTTCAGTGGGGCTGCAGGATGCTGAGAACTTTTGGAAACTAAATTTATTTTATCTCAGTGGTCAAAATGTGTGGCCTTGAAAACAGGATGCTTTTGTCCGCGTCAGACAAAACAAGTCCTGTTAGCACATAAAACTAAGCTCAGTGTGAACGAGTAAGTATGCCGGTTCACAGAAAGAAAACTGGCTGCTTCGTTCCTCCATGTTTTGGCTTCATGTTACATCCAAACCTGAGCTTGTGGTTTATCACCCACAGACAGATCACAAGTGGTAGGCCAAGAACAAACCTTAGCTACAACAAATCGTGAGCTCAGGTTCATATGTAATACCAAGCCAAACCGTGACTTAGTTCCCAGTAGCAGGGGAAGCGGCTGTGATTTTCGCTCTGTGCACTGATACACCTGCTCATTCATGTTTGGCTAAGTGTTACGTGTGCACCAGCCTCTCTTTATGTAGAAAGTGATTCTTCCAACACCATCCAGTAACATTTCTTGCCTACCAGTTAGGCCGACTGGGTTGGGAGTCAAGAGGGTGCTCAGCTTTAACTTCTGTTGTTCCAGGTTCCAGTGACCTTCGATGACCTCTCAGTCCATTTCAATGAGAAGGAATGGGGAGATCTGGACGAGTTGCAGAAAGAGTTGTACAAGACAGTAATGAAAAGCAACTACGAGATGCTGGTCTCGCTGGGTGAGATTTAAGAAACCCTGAGTTGGTATATAATGGGATGCAGGCTCAAAGTTCTTACTTGTTTGGGCGATCATTATCAGTATCTTGAGAACTAATGTGGTTTAGTGAATAAGAGAGGCTTCTCATCTTTGATTATCTGCAACATGTGTGTATTAAAAAAGAAACAAAATAAGGGCATTTGTTGTCATGGAAGAGTGTGTTCAAGCCCCTGCTCAGGCGGAGAACCTGCCACTGGACCCCTTTTTTAGTTTCTGAGCCATTACTATGGATTCATAGCTCCAAAGAGAGTTTTATAGGCCACGCTGTCCAACCCTTTGCTTGGTTCAGGAAATCCACAGCTGGGGAGAGCCTGGAAGTGGCAGAGCAACTGGGCTCCATGGCATCACAGCAGCGTGGCACTGGTATCCAGCATATCCTGGGCCAGCTCAGCTTTTCCCACCCCTGGGATGCCCAGTTTTTGGTGGGTCACATGCACTCTTGGCAAGTGAAGCAAGGAGGAAGCCAGTGGAGTCATTGATGGGGGTGGGAACGGAGACATCTGCCTCATCCGACACTCCCCTCCCTTCCCCCAGCATGGCAGATAAGGGATTTGGATTGCAGCAAAGCCTATTAGAAAGTCTGTAGCTTCCTTCCCCAACCTGCTACCCTTCTGATGTTTCAGACTGGAATTCCTATCAGCTCCAGCCAGCATGACCAGTAGTCAAGGATAATAGGAACTGTAGTCCCAGACATCTGGTGGTCACCAAGTGGGGATGGATAACTCATGGGCAGCAGCCATATTTTGGCTAGTTTTGCACCTTGAAACACACCCATTCTTGATCGTGGGAGCTGTTTGATGTTCAGCTCAAGGGAGGTTGCAGCTTAGCAGTAGACTGCACACTTTGCATTTGGCAGGGGTGACTCCAGTTAGTTCATCTTACAGATATTTTTTAATGGATCTCTGGTAGCAAAGCTGCGAAAGGTTTCTTCTGCCTGAAACCTTGGACTACTGCTGCTTGTCAGAATAGATGATACTGGGCTGGATAGACTGGTGGTCTGACTCTGGATAACACAGCTCTTTCTGACAAAGCCAGGGCTTATTTATTTGCAAGCCTTCGCAATTCTCTGAGCCTTTTGTTACTGAATGGCATGTAATGACCTCCTCTTTTCCCATTCATCGATTGAACAGACTATGCCGTTGCCAAGCCAGAGATCCTGACTCGGATTGAGCAGGGAGAAGAGTTGTGTGAGAAAGGACTTGGAGATTCAGAAGGCAGTGGTGTCCCTGAACAACTTGACGCAGGTGCGTTAGCAGGCCTCCGAGAAACAGAGCAGAGAGTCCTTTTGCTGCCTCATCATAAGAGAAATGTTATCTTGCAATTTCTTTTGACCTTTGCCACTGACTGTGTTGGCAGCATTTGGATATGACTTGCAAGTGAAGCCTGTAGACCAATGTGGGTGAGATCCAGCTCCTCAGCCCCACTCCTTTGCCTCAAAGGATATTGGTGGGAGCTTTTTCCCTGGTATGACACCAGGAAAGAAGAAAGTTGAGGGCAGGAAATGCAGCCTTAGTAATCCTTGTTGTGTATGGACATTGTGTAATTCCTGTTTTACTGGATTCGAGTGATGGTTTTATTCTGAGAATATAAAGTGCCTCTTTTTGGCTATGAAGTGGAATATAACTAATCTGAATGAATGAATAAATGCATGGGGACATTGGGCTGGATGCCCCTCACTTGCACTTTAGTTGTACTCAAAGTATGGAAATGAATCCACATGTTAAATCCACCTGTTTCAGTTTGTTTACTTAGAGGGCTTGAGGAGCAGAAGTGGTATTTGTGTTGCAAAAGACACACCTTTTCCAGCACGTTGATGGTTTTCTTGTTGTCTCATATGCTTCATGCCTGTAGTGCTTTTGCAATAACCTTCATACTTGGCAAAAACGTGTTTCTTTCCTGTTACAAATACTAATTTTTGTATCGGAAGAAGTGGCCTTGTATGCCCATGACGTTATGTTTGTCCTCGTGCACCTTTTGCATCAGTGTGTATAATCTCTCCTGCCTGTTGTTGGTTCTGGATGATACCTTTTTAATTGCAGAAAGTTCTTGCATCCAGATTGGAAAGCCATCTTATTCCACCAGGCAATTTCTACATGCAAGACTGCTTGGAGAGCCTGGCCGTTTTCAGAATGTGACATGGGCTCTGTTACGGTGCAGGGATGGTTAGAAAATGAAGACTTCTTACATGGGAACCTGGTTAGGAAAGTGATTGGAATGTATTGGGTTGTGTAATGAAACACTGTTTAAACCTCAAGTTTGTGACCAGCAGGTTGTTGTGTGTGCATGGTTTCAGTGTTCATCAGCTGATGCACAGCAACCTCTTCTCTCTCCCATTCAGACTGCCCCGCTGCTCCAGTTGATGTTTCTTTGTGGCTTAAACAAGAGGTGGAGGAATCCCAGAATGGGGAGGCTAAGCTTCCTGAGGAGACGAGCAATGGCTGCCACATGGGTGAGTATTTAACTGCATTGTGGTTTCTGCTTAGCTTTTAGGCTGCCAAGCAAGAAAGCAGGCCCTTGACTTGAGGGCTTCCCTCTTCCCAGCAGGCTCTCTTTCATTATAAAGCCAGGATTATGAGGGAGCTGCTTACACAATTGGCAGCCTGCCATATTCATTTAGTCCTTTGTGGGCAGCTTTGGAGACACAAGGCATATTTTTCAGGTGGGACTTCAAAGGTTTCTCTCCATCCTCACCTCCACCACAACCCCATGTCACCTTTGCTGTTTTAACTGGCTGGTTTTATGGGTTGTTTTGGACTTCACTGTGCCCTTTAGCATTGCCCCTTGAAACTCTCTCTTCCAAACCATCCATCCTTTTCTTTGCTCCTCCACCTCCTTCCTCTGACCTCTTTCACACTCTTCCCACTGACCTACCCTGGCTGCAAAGCCCTCCTTTTTCTGTCCCCCTCTCTTGCCACACATGCGCTTCCTCCTGCTGCCTGAGGCTCTGGATGAGTTTTCTCCTTGATGGAGAAGAGCAGCGCCCTGTGACCTCCTCTCTCCTATGTGCAGGTTCTCCCATGGATACAGTAGAGTCATCCTCGTGGATTAAAGAGGAAGTGGAAGAGGTGCGCTTTGCTCCTGAGGATGTCCAGGAAAGGGATCTCAGCCACAAAGGCAGCCTGGGTGAGTCCTGTCTTCGATCTCCCTTGGAACCAATTATGCTTGTCTTGTTAGGAATGCATTGAATGCGTAAATCCTCATGAAGACATTGCAAGTGGGTGTAAAGAAGCTGATTTAAATTTGTAGTGACGGCTCTAATATAACTGTTGCAGCAGACCTTCAAAGGCTTGCAGTCCTTATTCTTAGACATGCAAATTTTCTATCCCTGGCCATGTACCACCTTTCTTTTTCTTTTTCTTTTTGTTTGTTAACAACGTCCAAAAGCACCTGCCAGACTGCAGATTTCCCCCTGCGGTTTGGCTAGTTATTCTCCTGCCAAGATTCCCTCATAAAGATATTTCTCCTCTGAACGTTGTGGAAAGAGTAGAACGGGACAGCCTTGGTTGCAAATTTCCTTCTTCCTTGACAGAATATCAAACTGTCACGGTGGACGAAGAGCACATTGCGGAACCCCAGGAAGGCATGTGTGCGCAGGAGCCGTTGTTCCTTGGTGAAGGGCCTAGCACTGGTGAGTAGCAGGACAAAGGTTTTTTGGCTCTTGAGAGCGTTGGTCCTTAGATTCCCCCTTGGGTGAGGCTGGTAACAGCGAACCTTCTGGCCCAGCCAGTGTGCTCTGTCTTCCCACTGTACTAACTGCAGTGTTCTGTCTCACCACCAAACTGGCACATAGTTTGAAGCAGGAAAGCTGCATTCCTGAGCAAATTAAGGGGGAAGATGTACCAGAGAGCAGGATCGTGATGGGGGGGGGGGGGGCTTCTGGTAAGATGAGCATCGGCTTGCGGAGCCTCGGGGCTGGAAGGCGATCAGCCCCTTGAAACAACTCCACATGCTCTCACCTTATGGCAGCTTCTTCCTGCTTAAGGGTACCAGGACTTTGGATGCCTTCTCACAAAACCATTTTTCATTTTAAAGGTCTGGATGCTCTTTCTCTCGTGTCTTTAAAATGCACAGCCATGAGGGGAATCAGGGGATCAGACTTGCAGTCACACACATTTATTGCAGCAGGAAACAGACTGAACTTGTACTCGATGGAGAGAGACCTCTGTGACCCCTTTAAGATTTAGTGTCCACAAGGACTGGGATCGCTCAGCAGAGTTTTAGAAGTTAGAAAGTAACTAATGGGGAGAATGAACATCCTTGCACACAGTGGTAGAAAGGATGCTCATGGGGAAATGCAATATAACGTTTGTGGGGAGTTAACTTTCATCCTCCTTATGACAGCTGAGTCATTTTAGACTTGCTCCAAAGTTCTGAGTCTTAATTGCATCTGGTGCATTACAGAACATTTTAAGATGCGACAAATATTTACTCAGATTAGTTAACAGTGTTGGGAGACTTTCAGGCACCTCTTAATGGTATTCATGGCATTCTTTCCTTGACCCCTCCTAACCAGGTATAACCCCAAAGCTATTTTTCAAGCTGCCACCACCTATTCCTACTCAAGACTAAATTCTGGTGTGTCTGGGGTTTTTGTTTTTTTAAACAAAGAAGTATACATAGGAACAGAGGGCAGTCCTGCTTTAAATTTCTAATAGTCCTAATAGATTCCAATTGAGCCACACACTTCAAATGCCTCACGGGATCTAAGAAGTAGTTGGGAGGAGAAGTAACTGGCAAATAGTCACCTGTGCAGTTGATTTGCACAGCAGTCAGTGCCAGTTTGGTGTGGTTAGAGTGTTGGGCTAAGACCTGGGAGACCTGGCTTCTAGCCCCCTCTCAGCCATGAAGCTCACTTGGCAACCTTGGGCCCAGGTACTGCCTCTTAGGCTTACCTACCTCACAGGGTTGCTGTGAGGAAAAATGGGGAGCGGGAGAGGCAAAATCATGCATGCCACGTTGAGCTGCTTGGAGGAAAGGTGGAATATAAATAGGGTAACATAAAAAGAATAAATATATAAATATGTCAATCCTTAAAATTAGTTCCAACAAAAACAACTCACTACGGCCAGGATCCAAATAGACAGGGCTCATGCCAGGGAGAGTAAGAATTTTCCCTGCTAAAGAGAGAAGCCACTAATCAATTTGAAAAGCCGCTTCTCTCTCTTGTGCCCAAGATAGTAAGAGAGGCTGCTTTCCTCACATGCAGATCTTGGGCACACACACTTTTTGTTTGCTGGTTTCTGCTAAGCAACTAACTTCAGCTTTGTGTATACTTTGCTAAGAAGTGGAACCTCCTTAGGCCCTTTGCTCTCTTCCCCAGTTGCTATTTGGCAGGGATTTGCGGCATAGTGTCTTCTCAGAACGGCAGAGGGGATTGGTTGGGACAGAGCCCTTCTAGTCAAAGTGCGAGCAATGAAGCGATGCTTCTTCTAGAGCAGAAGAGGCAATTGCCGTGGAAGGTTGGAGAGTGTGGCTGCTGTGGTGGCATGCTAGCAGATCCCAACACTTCCTGGTCAGGCAAGCTACAGGCAAGGCCAGGATCACCAAGGAAATCTCACACTGCTCATTCAGTCCCTGAGAACCAGAATCCCATTGGACATAAAGAGTGACAAAGCCCTTCCAGATCTTGCTGAAGCCCCTGGCTGCCAGAGGAACTGAAGCTTTTGCAGCGAGCTAGGCTGAGTTTTGCTTGCAACAAATGGTCCAGAAGCGGACGCCACCTGAAGATGTCTCCCGCGCGAAACGCCACGGTTCAGAATGGTGCATCTTTAACATTTCCCTCGGAGGAAGACGTAACTGCTGACATTTTAAGAACTTGAAAGAAGCCTAAATGTCACCGCTCTCTGCTGGATGCGTTTGGCACTGGGAAGAGGAACTGTGTGAGCAAGAAGTTGTATAATGTGGAGACTGGCATCGAAATCCCTCTGCTAGGCCAGATGTGGGCTGGAAGTCTTGGAGCATAGAAGTATGATATAGAAGGCCACGCTTCTGTCTTCTGCTTTGTGTTGGGAAGCCAAAGTGGGGGCTACCAAGGGAATCCATTGAAGCAAGAGATCAGTTGTTTGCTACCAGTTCCTCCCGATGAATTTTTCTGCGTTACTGAGTGCCCCAACTTGGTAGCTGTTCAGCACAGCTTTGCGTGTCGGGAGGCTCCACCGAACTGTTGCCGCAGGCAGGAGTCTCTTGGAATGCTGCCTTGAAAGCCGCCTGCCAAGAACGGTGTGAAAACTGGAGGAAGGCGCCAGAGAAGAGGCAGCGGCCCAAGACCCAGTGGCTTTCGTAGGTTCCCAGACCCAGCCCAGTTTGCCCAGTGGGTCAAGGAGGCCTGGGAAAGTGTCTCTGCGGACATGGCAACCCACAGCCCAGTCATTTATTGCAACAGCTGGTTCAGACTTCATCCAGGGCACAGTCATTGCTGTTGCCAGGAGGTGGAGCGGGGGAGGGGACTCCTTGTTTGGCCTGCATCCTAGATAATGAAGGGACTAAGGGGAAGGATGCTGACAAAGTCGGCTTCAAATGAATGCCACTGAGGGTTCCTTCTCCTGATGCGAAGGCATCTTTGGGCTTCAAAAACCGGTTCAGGTTTAATAAAGCCGTTAAATTATTGTTAAATGCCTGAATGCAAGATATTTCCTTCTAGTTCATTTCCCATGTGTAGTTCTCCCACTTATGACCCAGGTAATAAATTAAAACAACAATAATAGCAAATAATGGTAAATGTATTGACTTGCTGTGGTGAAAAATCCAGTGCTTATAATAACGCTATTGACCTGCCTTTAAAAAAAAAGTTATTTGGAAGAGGCTCCATCGTCTCCCAAGGCAGCTTGTTTCATTTCTAAAGTCAAAAGTGTTCTGTTGCTTCTGTGAGATGTCTGTGGGTCATTTGCTTGCTGGAGCCATTGGCAGGTACCATATCCCAGTTGTACTTCATTGCTCCTGCTCTCCAGCTTGTGGTATGTGCTGTGCTCTGGCTAGTGCAGTATAATCTGGTGTGGGTGTGGAGGGGCTGTGGAGGTTGATTTGTAGTTCGTTTCCTCTTAGACTGGGTTACCTGGCCCTGTAGTAACGCCTTCCCTGATCTTACGGGTACATGTTGAACGATTAGCAAGGTGCCCGCTGTAATGATTCCCGCCCCCAATATATTCCATGGATATCTATTAGTACAGTGGTACCTCGGGTTAAGAACTTAATTCGTTCTGGAGGTCCGTTCTTAACCTGAAACTGTTCTTAACCTGAAGCACCACTTTACCTAATGGGGCCTCCTGCTGCTGCCGCACTGCCAGAGCACAATTTCTGTTCTCAACCTGAAGCAAAGTTCTTAACCCGAGGTAATATTTCTGGGTTAGCGGAGTCTGTAACCTGAAGCGTATGTAACCTGAAGCGTATGTAACCTGAAGCGTATGTAACCCAAGGTTCCACTGTATTGCATTTAAGGCTTAAAAATGTGTCATAGTCTAGGTTAGTAATAGAATAAAGCTGTGAACTTTGAATTCTCAAACTTCTACTTTCTGTCTGATCTCCCCTCTCACCACACTTTTAGAAATAGTTGTCGTGTGTGAGCAGGATGATAGCATTGGGACAGCATTAGACCGGGATCAAGGAAGAAGGCACTATAATACAATGCCAAAAGTTAGGGAAACAGGGCAGAGAGGGGAAAAACTTAATTCCACCTGTGAATGAGGTGGTACAGCATGGTTCATTTAAGGGAGACATTAGCAGAAAGCTGGGAGTGGGGTTTGCAAATTTGGAAGCGGGGAAAGGCGGGGTGAGATTTAGGTACTGAAGCAAACGTAGGAAGTTTGGCAGGGGCATACAGGGAGAATAGGCCGAATATGGATAGTTTTCCTGCAAGGACAGGGGATCCTGTGTGGGTTTTCACCACCCACTTCTTCACTGCCAGGAAGTTGGAACTCTTAAGAGGTTCATCCAAGTTTCCTGGACAAGTCCCTCCCAGTTTCACTACCTTCCACCGCTACTGCAGAACATTTTTCTGGCAGCTCCTAAGGCGTGGCAAACACAATTTTATAACAGAAATGTCATTTCCTTTGTTCCTCCGCTCCTCTGTCTTTCCGATCCCTTTGGAGACCCCCCCCCCCGTTCCATCAGAGGGAAGGGGGAGGACCCACACATCAGCACGCAGCGGAGGGGACAAGGGAACTTTGCAAAGACTCCTCAGGAGTCCTCAGGGACCCAGAGAGCCTGTGAAGAGGAACCTCAGGGAGTGAATATCTTTGACATAATGGGCCATGGTAGAGATAACCACACACAGAGAAAGAGAGAGTTTTTATAAGGCAGTGTCTGCAAACATTGGAATGGGAGGCTTCCTTTTTTCATAGTTTGCGGCAGACCCAGGATCATGGTTGCAGATTTATTCCCTTCACGAAGTGCTTGCCCCTTCTGCTGTAATGTGATTGTAAAAACATACGGGCTGGAAGAGATCTTGTGGGTAATTTCATGAAGGAATCTCATGAATGCATACCTGTTGGGTTTTGGCTACCCATGTGGGTTTTCTGGGACACATTGGTGATGAGGACCCAACAGGAAACCCTGGGTCCCTGTTTACAGATCTGTCCAGGGCAGCCAGCGTTTTCTTGCGGAGAGCAAATTCCTGTGTTACGTTTCCACCTTGACTCTGAGGTTACAAAACTTCAGGCCCCGGTTCTGTGAGCCGCTTTAGTTCTGTGAGTTGGGTGGCCCCTTCGGCTGTCTCTTGCACCTTCAGGAAGTTCCCTGTTCCCGGTCTGGAGGGACAAAAAAACATTGTTTGGGGCCGCAGAGTAAGAGCTTCCTCTTTGCTCAGGTCCAGCCCCCTTTCTGACTTGGGTTGATGCCGCTGGCGACATGGAGCACGTCCTTCGCGAGCAACACCGAGGGCGTTTTTACGAAATGATGGAGGAGATCCTGTCCACCAAGCGAGAGGACAACAACAGTTACATTAACCGCGAAAGATACAGGACTTTGATCGAAGAGGTCAAGGAGGCGAAGAGGCTCCGCAGCAAAAAGGGCAAGCATTACCGCCGGCTCAGGCGCTTCAACGTCCTGAACATCGGCGAGGAAGAGAAGCTGGTGGTGCCCGTCTCCCCTGGGCACACCGAGGTGGTGTACTTCGTCCAGTACGAGGACTTGTTTGACATCCTGCACGCGGCACATGTTGCCATCGGCCACGGCGGTCGGACCAGGATGCTGAAGGAACTCAGCCGTAAGTACAAAAACGTCACTGCTGAGGCTGTAATGACTTACCTGAAACTTTGTGAGCTGTGCCAGAAAAAGCAAGGCGGTCCCAAGAAGGGCTTTGCCGCAAGGCCGGCGTTTCGCAGCGAAAGGGATTCGCATTGTTCGTTTGATATAATTTACATGTAGCAGGACTGGGATGCAAACTCAGAACAGTGCATCGGGATCCCCTGAGAAAAGTGTTCAGCCTGGACCGCTGCAACCAGGTATTTTTCACAATCCCCATTCCATGTTTTCTGCACTGCAGAGAGCTTGTATTTCAAATAACTGAAAAATTGGTGCTTGGGGTGGCGCCGTAATCCTTAACGGGGAGCCACGGACTGTCGAAACACACAAACGGAGACATTTGGAAACAATAAGCTTGGTCAACGGAAGCAAGACGAAGTCTGAAACAGTTTCATTCAAAGCGTGAGGATTTCATCACATCACGACGGCATGAAAAGGATTCCTTGCAGAAGCTGCCTTTGGATGGTCCCAAATGGTCTGGCGTCATCAAACTTGATTTCAGATAATTTAAGGACTTTGAGGTCTGTCAGAACTGGGTGAGAGAAATTCAGGCGTGCTGATTTCGGTGCAGGCTGGTATCGCTTCAGCTCACGCCCACAAAATGGGGAGGTCACTGAAACAGCCGTCAGCACATGGAGACCTATGGAGAGACTCTCAGCTAATGTTAAAAAAATAATAATATTTGTAAAAATAAACTCCAGGTAGGCTTCAAGGAAAGTTGCCATGAACACCAGAACCTTCTGAGGATTGCACAAAAAGCAAAAACTCGCAAAGGACCGAGTCTTGGGAGAAGAATTGCCATTCTCAGGCTTATCGGGTTCTAACAGGCTTTATTTAAATAAAATATAAACAAATAACAGGTTCTGTTATTTTAAAAACCAGTTAGAAGGTTCCCCCCCAATCCAGCAGTATATACATTTTGTTCAATAATTAAATAACAAAAATGGCAATGCCAATTTGAAAACATTCTGACCTAAGTACTTCTCTGCATTGGGGAGTGGGCAGGGAAAACACCTTGACTTGAAAGCGTGGGTAACACAGGGCCTCATCCTGTAGTTCATTCTACAGTGCAAAGTTTTCAGAACAGAACTTCAGCCAGAGTTTGCTTAAAGGACTCCACCAAATATTTGCCTGTTTTGATTTTGGGCTTCCTCCTGTTGCCTTAACCATAATTTTTTATGTGTTTAGCCTGAAGTTAAAATGCCTCTGCACCTCCCTGCATTAGAAACCCACGAGTCCTTTTGCCTAGTAGAGATTCATCAGGGCAGGGCCTGCTTTATAAAGTTCCTGCTCCTCAGTTTGTGAAACAGGCTAGGATGTGAAGTTGGGCTCTCTCAGAAGTGTCCCATGGGAGTTCTGGCGAAACCCTTCAAAGCTCACCATCTCCTGTTCTTGAGTCAAGTGCAACTTTCCCACTAAGTCATTCAAGGATTTTATTTAGTTGTATTTATAAATGTTCATATATTGTGTGCGTTGATTTTGTAAATGAAGTATTTATTTGATTTTTTTATATATGTATATTTTAATATTAATCAATGATCCTGTCTTTTTACCCATTGTTGACTGCTTTGATTTCAAAGAAAGCAAGTTTTTCAATATGCAAGTGAAGCAGAGGCATTCGTGGTGCTGCAGCTAAATTGGCCTCCTCTGCAAGGCTGTAACTAAAAATGCTGACGTTCTCCTGCTTCTAAGAATCCTTCAGGTGGATTCTGTGCCTAGTTCAAAGTCCTTTGAACCCCTTCCAGGCCTGTACTGATGACTGCACAATCTCAAAAAAAGATAATTCTGGGAGGAAGGGCAGTGGCAGGAATCCTGTCACTCCCAGTGTCACAAGCCTCTGCCTCTGCTCTAGTAAATAAATATATTGTCTGCCGATGGTCTTCCTTTGTGCTCCACTTAAGAAGAGTTGTTTGTACGATAACAAAAATAAATAAATCCCAACGCCCCAAACGACAGTGAACATCAGTGCTAAAAATGTTATAGTGTAGTAAAATGGTGTTGTTTGCTATTAAATACCGATTAGCTTTGCACCTGCTTGTTTTCTTCACAGTGATGTCAGGTGGAATGTTAAGAGAAATTCTATTAAATTCTTTTGTTTGAAAAATGGTTTGGCATAATTCATTACCAAGATAACTTCTCTGGTTAAAGTTTGAAACCAGAAAGGTATAAGAACATAAATTCCACAGTTCAACTATGTGCCACATGAAGACATCACTTCTTTTTGTATAGCTCAGTTGGTAGGGCATGAGACTGTTAATTTCAGGGTTGTGGGTTCGAGTCCCACATTGGGCAAAAAACATTCCTGCCTTGCAGGGAGTTGGACTAGATGATCCTTCTGGTCCCTTCCAACTCTACAGTTCTGTGATTCTGCGATTGTATACAGGGTTGAAAATGTGCTTCATTTATCTTCTCCGTTGACAGCGACAATTGCACGTTTAAAAGTCATACTAAAAAGTAATTAAGGTTTTTCTACAACTGCTGCCTTTCCCTGGCCTGGCTTGGTAATCGTTAGCACCGTTAACATTTGTGCATTTGGTATTTCCCACAAGCTTAGTAGTAAATTTACTCTTTTTGATAATGTCATTATCAAACTCCCAGCAATACTTCTGAACATAATAAACTACCGCAAGTGCCATTGTGTTGTTCGGCATAGCCAGTGCAGCCTACATTCTTGGCTCTCATAACTGCTCGCGTTTCAAGGAAAGGCAAGCTGCGGCAAGGCTTTCCACACCAGTGACTGAGCCCAGAGGCCCATGTGTGTCATCAGCAGCCCCTGCGACACCTCATGGTGCTAGAAGAAGCATGGCAACCGTACTGTGATTCTGAATATTGCTTTTTGTAGGGTAGGGGGCACTGGGGTTACGTTTATAGCAGGGGTTGTCAACCTGATCCCTACCGCCCACTAGTGGGCGTTTCAGGATTCTAGGGGGGCGGTAGGGAATTCTATGGCACAAGCTGAATCCTCCTTCCATCGAGCACTGCGGGGCGGTAAGGAAATTTTACCATCAAGAAAGATGCGTTAGTGGGCGGTAGGTATAAAAAGGTTGACTACCCCTGGTTTACGGAGTCAAGAAGGCAGTGACTCCCAATGGTTTGGGAAACACTGTTCTAAATAAAATGAAGGTGTTGGGCTTCAAAATATTAAACCCATGCTTTGAATTGGTCCCAGAAACAAACAGGCAGCTTGTGCTACTAGCATGATAGCGGCCTCCCTCAAACAGCTGTTTGCGGTTGGCCATTTCTTCCCTTGGTCTGATTTGGTGGCTGTTCCTGAGCCCTCTTCAAATGCAGCCTTATATATGCAGGTTGGACTTCCAGTTGGTGTCACCAAAAAGATGGGCCAGCGGGTGGTAGGGGAGACCTCAGCGTCAAAAACCGAATTACTCCTGTACGCCCCTACTCACAGCTTATTCAGGGCTTGTGTTCCTGTGTCTCATCTTAAGTCAGTTGAGCAATGGCAAAAAGTTGCCCTCCTCGCGAGTTTATTTGCATGCTGCTTTCCCCTGCTCAAAGAGCCTCACAGCAACATACAGACTAAAACCTAGCATCTCAAGACGTTGCGTTAACCATTACAAAGTAGAGCACAAGTTGTTGTTGTTGTTTAGTCATTTAGTCGTGCCTGACTCTTTGTGACCCCATGGACCAGAGCACGCCAGGCACTCCTGTCTTCCACTGCCTCCCGCAGTTTGGTCAAACTCATGTTGGTGCCTTCGAGAACAGTCCCACCATCTCGTCCTCTGTCGTCCCCTTCTCCTTGTGCCCTCAATCTTTCCCAACATCAGGGTCTTTTCCAGGGAGTCTTCTCTTCTCATGAGGTGGCCAAAGTCTTGGAGCCTCAGCTTCAGGATCTGTCCTTCCAGGGAGCACTCAGGGCTGATTTCCTTCAGAATGGAGAGGTTTGATCTTCTTGCAGTCCAAACAACAGCAAAACTTGCACTAATGTCAGTAAGACCAGCAAAACACTGAAATGCCTTAACAATAGAACCCAAACATCCATATAGGAGCGAAAACAGGGCAGCTTAAGAGTCTGCTGTGGGAGAGAGCTTTTCCTGTGTAACGCCTGGTCCCCTTCTGTTCTTGTTCTTTTCTCTAGCAGAACAAGAAACTTCAGCAGAGACACAGGAAGACGGAAGCCGCCGGAAGCCAGACTTGCTCATTGACCTGTCGGGAAGAACCACCCCTCCCAGCCCTGGGCACAGCCTTGCCTGTGGCGCTGAGCCTGGTGCCCAGCCCCAGCCCACCAAGGAGGAGCCGGAGAACTTTATGCAGGAGCTGTACTCCTACCTGGACTGCGGGAAACGCTTTGGGCACAAGCGGTCTCTGCTGGACCACGAGGCGCCCCACCCCTTCCAGTGCCTGGAGTGCCACAAGAGCTTTGGCTGGGAGGACGAGCGCCAGCCGGACAGCCACCCCCCTGCCACCTGCCCTGAGTGCACCCAGCGCCTGCGCAAGAAGCGCTCCAGCCTGGCGCACGTGGCAGACGCCCAGCCCTTCGCCTGCGCCACCTGCGGCGCCACGTTCAGCCAGTGGTCGATGCAGCTCCTTCACCAGAAGTGCCACGGGCCCCACAGCCACTCCTGCGGCGACTGCGGGGCCGGGGCCGGGTCGGCGCAGGAGCTCCAGCGGCACCGGAGGGCCCACGCCGTGGTGGGGAGGGCCCACTCCTGCCTCAACTGCCCCTGCAGCTTCCTCTCCTCCTCGGAGCTAGCCGCCCACCGCCGGACGCACACCTCGAGCTGGCCCTTCACCTGCAGCTGGTGCCAGAGCACCTTTGCCAGCCGCAAGGTGCTCTCCGAACACCAGGAGCTGCACGTGGCGGCGGCAAGGAAGGTTCTGCCCCACGTCAAGCTCAGCTTCAGCTTCAACTGGCGCGAGTTCCTGGCGGAACAGATGAAGCATTGCCTGCACTCCAGCTGCTCCCCGCGGCAGGCGCTGGCCGAGCTGCTGCAGAAGAACTCGGAGCTGTGGCCCTACCCGTGCGCCGAGTGCGGCACCCACTTCTTCAACCAGTGGGCCCTCGCCAACCACAGGTGCTCTCCCTCGCCGAAACCGCACGCCCAGGTCATGGCAGGGGGTGGCAGCGTGCTTTGGCAGGGGGCGGGCGCAGATCTGCCCCCAGCCGCGTTCCAGTGCCCCTCCTGCGGCCTGGGCTTCCCCCAGGAAGAGTCGCTGGCACAGCACCTGCCCAGACACAGCGGCGAAGGGCGCCCTTTCCAGTGCCCCCACTGCAAGAACAGCTACCTGTGCAAGGAGGCTCTGGCCGGCCATGTGCAAAGCCACTTCACCTGGCGGCCAGCCCACTGCTACATCTGCGACCGGGATTTCGCCCAGCCGGAGGAGCTGGTGGAGCACCTCAGCACCCACGTGGTGGAGCACCCCTACAAGTGCGGCCGCTGCCACAAGAGCTTCCTGAGCCCCTTCCTGCTAGGCAAACACTTCCAGCAGGAACATGCTGCCCTGGGGTAGCCGCACGCCCGCAACTGGTTCACTCAGCCTGAGCTGCTGGAAAGAGCACCTGCTGTCCCACGCTGCCAGGGACCCCTTTCCAGGGCGATGGGGGAGAGAGAGGCTGTTCTTGCCGGCGCTGCTGGGGGAGCGTGGGAGGAAGCATGCAAAAAAGGAGTCGTGCCGGGTGCAAACGGGGAAAAAGACAGAAGTGTCTTCTCTAACTGGCTGCAGAAAGGGTTCCCCAAACTGAACGTGGCTGGAAAAGACTTTGCTCAGGTGGAAAGGGCTGCCTGGCTGTCGAAGGGTCTCTGGTTCACCTTCCTTTTCTTCCTCCTCCCCGCTGCGATCCTTCAGTATCGCTCTCAGACTGTGCTGTCGCTGCGGGAGTTGCAATCAATTAACTGGCAAATCGCCTCCCGCATATAGGTCCCGAGGTCTGCTTTGAGGTCCTTTAACAATCACGTGGTGTGCATTTTATATGCATCCTCAAAACAGGCAAAAGGATTTTCAAAAGCAGGACAAGAACAACCGAGCATAGGTTTAAAAGCAACGCAAAATCAACGGCTAAGGCAGAGAACTTTTCTCCTAGCTTGGAAAGCTTGTTGAAACTCTCATGTTCTCACTTGTTTCCGGAAGGGGCAGGGAGGGGGCTCTTCTGGGGGTTCAAGCCACGGTGCTGTGGCGTGTTTAAATGTCTGCAGCCACGTGGGTGAGACAGATTGCAGGGTCCTGTTTTATCTAGGGGAGATCCATGGGGTTGACTCCTTTACGGATTGTGGGCCCCTGAGAAAAGTGCCTCCCTCAGTGCTCCTGCGATGAGATTCTTCCGTTCCATTTGGAATGGTTTTATGTGGTTTGTAGTACTAATGAGTTTAATGTTTTTTAAAAAAATAATAATGGCATAGTCTGTTGTGGTCTCCTGCCCGGGGACCTAATAAATAAATCTTATAATAAGTGTAGCGCTTGAGGAGCATCTTGGAGTTGGGTGCATCAGTCCCTGCACGAACAGCGCTGTCTTTCCAGCAAGGCTGTGGCAGCTGCACTCCAGAAACCTGCAGTGTCCTCTTTTTGCAGGACTCTGGAACACAGGTTACCAGGGGGCCGTATAGAATGCAACAAGCACAGGGGTTGCAGGGCGAGGCAGCTGGAGCGAACACACCCACGCACACACATTTGCATGGAGGGAAAATTTTTCAGGAAGTTTCAGAAGCCGGGAAGCCTGACCTTTTCTCTGTTTCGGAGCATGCAAAAGGGTTGTATTATGGCAACAGAAGTGTAGGAGATGGGGGAGGTAGTATGCTCTGTTCCCTTCTGAGCAGCCCAGTGCCCTCCGGATTTATTAATTTTTGGACTACAACTCCCATCAGCCCCTGGCATTGGCTGATGGGAATTGTAGTCAGAAACACCTGGAGGCCATGCTGGCTACCTGACAAAAGGGCGGCTTCAGCTTCAAGAGCTGCGTTTCAGAGATCATTTTACTAGACATCTTTTCATGGCTTTTGCTCATGCAGTCGTACTGCGACCAGTAAGTTCATTCTCATCACCACCTTTTCAGGAGCTACAAGGAGCATAAAATTGGGCATGGCTTGATCAAGATTTTTATTTTATTTTATTTATTGTTTATATACTGCCCTATGCTCACAGGTCTCAGACCCAAGCCTGAGCTTCCACAGTTGCTGCCCGCCATGAAACACCATTGACAGGATGGGCAGCAACAGCTGCAGAAACGTTCTACGCGAGAACATTTTATGCTCTTGCTAACCATGCTATTTTAAATGTGCATTTTCTATTTGACTTCCTTTCGTAGTGTTTTCCTTTGAAATGCCTTAAGATATTTTTTTGTTAACTTCACTGCGTCAAATGTGCATTCCTTTGTAATACTTTTATTTTGGAATCTTTCCGATAATATTTCAGTTTCCTGTTAATTAAAGTATGCTTTAGATGTATACTTTATATTTGACTTCCTTCTGTAGTGTTTTCTTCTGGATTCTTTTCTTTGAGGTTTTAATGTATTTTTCCCCCTTAAAAATACAAAGCGGTATAGAAATGAAATAAATAATACGAACAACAACAGAGAAGTCTGCATTTCTTTTTGTGCAGGGACAAACAGAACCCTTTATTACTGTATTCGTTCATTGCTTTTTACACAAAAATGTCTCAAAGTAAGAAATAACACAGATAAATTAACATCCAAGTATAAGAACTAAAAATAAAATGAAATCTCACAGAGTTCAGGCATGAAATGACCCTTCAAAAACACTGGACATTTATTTTTTATTTCTGCCATTTTCCTTCAGGTGGAGGAAGCTGCACAGATTCGCTTTGGACAATAAAAGTGTCTCTCTGTGTTGGATTAAAACCAACCAGTTGTGCTGATCCGGCTGTGTGCTAATATCTTTCTTGGCCCAAGGAATGTTTGCAGTGAAAGCTTTAAGGTTTTAAAGAACTCCGCTCCACTCCCGACACACCCAGCCACTTCTAGGGAGAAAATAGTTCTGTATAACTTGGAAAACCTGCATTGGTATTGAAGGATAGAAGAAACCCATATTTTTGCCCTGGGCAACACAGGTGACTCCCTTATGAGGAAATAATGCAATGCTTGGGACTTTTTAGTTTGGAGGAAAAGGTGAGAAAGAGACAACATGATAGAAATTTATAGTTTATAAAATGATTCCTGACAAAGTGGCTACTGAAAAGTCCCGTCCCCCCTCAATAACTAGAACTCCTGGTCATCCAATGAACTGGAATGTTGGGAGATTCAGGAATTATTTTTAGAAAAGAATTTCTTCAAACAGTGCAGAGTACAGTGGTACCTTGGTTCTCAAACTTAATCTGTTCCCGAAGTCTGTTCCAAAACCAAAGCGTTCCAAAACCAAGGCGTGCTTTCCCATAGAAAGTAATGCAAAACAGATTAAACCATCTTCCGCAGAAACTGCTGCTTGCCTTCTATCACTGTGCCATTGAGAGCGTGCTTACTTATGGCTTATGTGTGTGGTACGGAAGCTGTACTACCCAGGACAGGATGGGGTTGTGCAGGGTTGTTAAGGCAGCAGAGAGCATGGTTGGCTGCCCACTCTCCACCTTAGAGCAGATTTATGCCACAAGGTGCCATAGGAAGGCACTGGACATAGTAAAAGATCCTTCGCATCCTGGTCACTGTCTCTTCGAGCTCTTGCCGTCGGGTCGGAGATACAGGACGATGAAGACAAGAACGAGCCGTCTTAAGAACAGCTTCTTCTCCAGAGCGATCTCGGCCCTGAATGGGAAGCCCGGACTTTGAAAGTCATCTAATCTCCCTTGCTGTATTATATTGTATTGATTAATTAGAGTTTTTATGGAGCAGTCAAGTAATTTCGTTGTCCCCGAAGGGGGCAATGACAATAAAGATATTATTATTATTATTATTATTATTATTATTAATCCGTTCCAGACTTTTAAAAACAACCCCCAAAATAGCAATTTAACATGAATTTTACTATCTAACGAGACCATTGATCCATAAAATGAAAGCAATAATCAATGAACTGAACTATAAAATAAATAAGGCAGTGTAGATGATGATGATTATTTCTTACCTGCACTGATGATAGTCATTGTTTGGATTGGGGGGCTTTTATCCATTTTCGCAGTCACAATCAATCAGTAGCTGAACTGGGTTCCACACAGTCAAAAACAAAAATGCAAAATAAATAGCAAAAACAAAAGCACCAAAGTTAATCTGTTCCGGAAGCCTGTTTGACTTCTGAAAGGTTTGAAAACCAAGGCGCAGCTTCTGATTGGTGCAGGCGCCCGGGAAACAATAGCCGACAGCCACATTGGACGTTCACCTTCCAAAAAACGTTCGAAAACCAGAACACTTATTTCTGGGTTTTTGGCATTTGGGAACCAAGGTACCACTATAGTTAGTTAAAATTTAAAAATTCCTTCCAGTAGCAACTTAGAGCTCAACTAAGTTTGCTCACGAAAGCTCATACCAATAACAAACTTAGTTGGTCTCTAAGGTGCTACTGGAAGGAATTTTTTTATCTTGTTTCGACTATGGCAGACCATCACGGCTGCCTATCTGTAACTGCAGTTAGTTTTATATCACATTTCCTCCAAAGATCACAGGGTGGTTCACAACATAAAAATACAAGATAACACAAAATACATAGCAAATGAAAAAATAGCTACCCTTCCACCAACACACTGAAAAGGCCACAGGCTATTGAATCATTGTTAAACTACGGAACTCACTCCCACAAGAGGCAATGATGACCACCAACTTGGATGACTTTGAAAGAGGATTAGACAAATTCATGACAGAGAAGGCTATTGATTGCCACTAGCCAAGATAGCTGATCACACACACACACCATTTGACTGGCAATGCCCATCAACTTTGTGGGAGTCTGTACCCCTCAAATATTTTAGGGGGGGGGTTGAAAGGACCTTGGCTCCTATGCTCAAAGTTGTGGGTTTGAGCCACACGTTGGGCAAAAAGATTTGTCACATTGCAGGGGGTGGACTAGATGACTCTTGGGTGTCCCTTGTTGTTGTCGTTTAGTCGTGTCCGACTCTTCGTGACCCCCTGGACCAGAGCACGCAAGGCACTTCTGTCTTCCACTGCCTCCCGCAGTTTAGTCAAACTCATGCTGGTAGCTTCGAGAACACTGTCCGACCACCTCGTCCTCTGTCCTCCCCTTCTCCTTGTGCCCTCCATCTTTCCCAACGTCAGGGTCTTTTCCGGGGAGTCTTCTCTTCTCATGAGGTGGCCAAAGTCTTGGAGCCTCAGCTTCACGATCTGTCCTTCCAGTGAGCACTCAGGGCTGATTTCCTTAAGAATGGATAGGTTTGATCTTCTTGCAGTCCATGGGACTCTCAAGAGTCTCCTCCAGCACCAGAATTCAAAAGCATCCATTCTTCGGCGATCAGCCTTCTTTATGGTCCAGCTCTCACTTCCATACATCAAGGGTGTCCCTTTGCAACTCTGCCATTCTATGATTCTTCAAAGGTTGCCTGTCACGTATGATCTGGTTGAGATTCCTGCATTGCAGGGGGTTGAACTAGATGACCCTCGGGGTCCCTTCCAGCTCTACCATTCTGTGAACTCTGCACATCCTCAGAGGCGCGCAGGAGAGGCCCTCGCGCGCGCGCGCTTGGCAAGCGGAACAGCTTTCCCACGGAGCGCTGCTAGGCGCGCATTATTTGGAGGGTGTCCTAGCCAAAAAACCTCCGAGGGGCAGGATCCGCTCCTATCCTCCGCGGGTGCAAGCGAAGCTCCCTTTGCGCTTCCTCGCTTTCTGCGGCGATGCTCTCCCAGGCCCGCAGGCGGCGGTGCAGCTCCGGAGTGGCGCCGGTTCCCCTCCCTAGTCTGTACCCCGCCTCCCCGCTTTGCAAAGCTGCTCCCGACATGCTCTGAGCTGCGGATCCCAGCGCCGGCCCTCCGCCCCAGCTCCGGACGGATCCCTCGCCGGGACCCTCGGAGGCGCCATGGCCGAGTGGGCGCCCGCGCAGGTAAGCAGCGCGCGCTCCCCAAGCCCGTGCGCCCTTGCATCTCTCCGGCTCCTCCTCCTCCTCGCGTCCGCTGGGCTTCCTGGATCCTGCTCTTTCTGCAGGGGAAGAGGATGCACTTTGCGCCCGGCTGATCCGGACGAGCTTCCCCCTCCCTCCGGGGTACTTACCCCGCTTTTACCCCGCTCTGCTCCCCTCCTTCCCGGTGCAAAAGGGAAAGGGAACGGCGGCGTCGGTTGTTAAGCAGGCGGGATGGCGGAATTCTGCGGGTGGAGATGCGCGCTTGCAGCCCGTGCTGTGTGAACGGGGTGCTTAAATTCGGAATCAGGTTCTTCCTTTAATGGGACTCTGCCTCTGCCCTCCCCGTGCCTGGTTGTGGTTTGCACCTTTGGTGCAAAGGGACCAAGTGGGGAGCAGAGATCTCTTAAGGGGCAAGGAGAGGGCAGAAAATTATTATTATTGCTATTATTATTATTATTAGTGCTTTATTCTAAGGGGAAAAGGTGTTGGTACTCACCATGAATTTGTCACAGTAAGTGCCACACTTTTAATATTTTTTTTTGGGGGGGGTACCAGTACTATGTATCCTTGAGGTAACTGTGCCCCTGAAGGACCAGGTGCGCAGCCTGGGAGTCATTTTGAACTCACAGCTGTCCATGGAGGCGCAGGTCAGTTCTGTGTCCAGGGCAGCTGTCTGCCAGCTCCATCTGGTACGCAGGATGAGACCCTCCCTGCCCGCGGACTGTCTTGCCAGAGTGGTGCATACTCTAGTTATCTCCCGCTTGGACTACTGCAATGTGCGCTACGTGGGGCTACCTTTGAAGGTGACCTGGAAACTACAACTAATCCAGAATGTGGCAGCTAGACTGGTGACTGGGAGCGACCACCAAGACCACATAACACCGGTCTTGAAAGACCTACATTGGCTCCCAGTACGTTTTGGAGCACAATTCAAAGGGTGTTGACCTTTAAAGCCCTAAATGGCCTCAAAGGCCCAGTGTACCTGAAGGAGCGTCTCCACCCCCATCGTTCTGCCCGGACACTGAGGTCCAGCACTGAGGGCCTTCTGGTGGCTCCCTCCCTGCGAGAAGTGAGGTTACAGGCAACCAGGCAGAGGGCCTTCTCGGTGGTGGCACCCGCCCTGTGGAGCACCCTCCCATCAGATGTCAAGGAAATAAACAACTCTCTGACTTTTAGAAGACATCAGAAGGCAGTTTAGGGAAGCTTTTAATGTTTGATGCATTGCTGTATTTTAATATTTTGTTGGAAGCCGCCCAGAGTGGCTGGGGAAACCCAGCCAGATGGGCAGGGTATAAATACTAAATTATTATTATTATCACGGCCCCTTCCCAACCACAGTGATTCCATTATAACAGGCATGTCTGACAGGTAGATTGTGACCTACCAGTAGATCACTGGATGTCTGTGACAGATCCCTGGCAGATCACTGGTTCCCTCCAAAGAAGATGAACCCCCAAGAAACAGGCCTTCCTCCTTCCTAAATATAATTCCCTGCATTATAATATTTATATCCTACTTCTTCTCCAAGGAACTCAAGGTGGTGCTTGAGAGACGCGTTGCAGGCCAGTCTTCCCCAACATGGTGCCCTCCACATGTTTGGAGTGTTTTCAGAAATGGCCAAAACAAAGAGCTTAGTTCCTTTTGTGAAAAAAACCAACAACTTGTGTCCTTGCCAACAGGCTCCGGAATGGGAGGCTGAATCTCGGGGCGCGCCGTCTTCCCTGCAGTCCCCTGCCATCCTCGAGTGTCCGGCGGGGCAGGTGACGGAGGCGTCTGTCTGGACTCTGGTGGCCGCTGTCCAGGCGATGGAGAGCAAAGTGGACGCTTTGACATCTCGGCTGCTGAGCCTGGAGGGCAGGACAGGGACGGCGGAGAAGAAGATCTTTGAGTGCGAGAAGACGGAGCTGGAAATCGGGAACCAGCTGGAGGGCAAGTGGACGGTGCTGGGGACCCTGATCCAGGAGTACGGCTTGCTCCGGAGGAGGCTGGAGAACCTGGAGAACCTGCTCAAGAACCGGAACTTCTGGATCCTGAGGCTCCCACCCGGTGTCAACGGGGAGGCCCCCAAGGTGGGTGGACCCTGCCTGACGATAACAGGAGCAAGATTGCGCTGGGGGACTTTTGGTGGATGGGTTGATGGGACCAGTTCAGTGTACGGAAAGCTGGAGCAGGGAGGAGACGCGAGCTCCCCTGGCTCTCTGGCCTTGGGTTAGTCGCTGGCAGGAGCCGGCCAGCAGTAAATCACACTGTGCAAGTTAGAGTTAACTCTTTATTAGCAAAAGCAGGATTTTTTTTTTAAAAAAAAAATTATTATGTTTCCCACAATTATAACAAATACCACATAACAAAACAATCGCAGGGGGTTGAGCTAGATGACCTTTGGGGGTCCCTTCCCGCGCTACCCTCCTAGGATCATTCGTTTCCCAGGGTGCTCTGGGGCATCAACTTTTGTGGCTGACACCTTGCAGGTGACCTTTGATGGCAGCACCGCCTTTTCCCAGGAGGAGCGGGAGAAGATGGAGGACTGGCAGAAGGAACTCTACAAGAACATCCTGAAGGGGAACTGCGAATGCTTGATCTCTCTCGGTAAGAGCCGGCGGGGGAAAGGAGGCTTCTGGGTCCTGCGTTCACCCTGGCCTGCCTCCAAATTCTCCATCACTTTGTTGTTGTTTTTTCAAATTTTTTTATTGATTTTCCAAATTTATAACAAACATATAAAAGAAAACATCAAAAAGAAACACAAACAAACAAGCAAACATAAATCCAAACTGTAATAATTCCATTTTTGTTAACATGGTTGGGTGACTTCCTCGAATCCCCCTGGCTGAATTTCCATATATATCATTGTAGCAGTTTTCCAAAACGAATTTCTCTTAAAAATTACTTAGTCAATTAACCTCTTTCTTTCTTTTCATTTTAACTTTATATTGTTCTATAGCATCACATATTTAAATCCTAGGCCAATCTGATACTTGGAAGTAATTGAATTCTCCTTCACTTTGGGGCTGTCCTCAGTCTCACCGCTTCTGTGCCACAAAATACCCGTTTTCCGCATTGGTAAGAACTCGATTGCTCAGTGTGGCAGCCCCTACACTTCGGAACTCCCTGCCAATTGATACCAGGCCAGCCCCCTCGCTGTAGTCTTTTCCAGCATCTGCTAAAAACACTACAGTCATACCTCTTGTTACATTTGCTTCAGGTTGAGCGTTTTCAGGTTGTGTCCTGCGGCGACCCGGAAGTAGCAGAACGGGTTACTTCCGGGCTTCACCACTCGCGCATGCGCAGACACGCAAAATGACGTCACGCGCATTTGCAGAAGTGGTGAATTGCGACCCACTCAGATGCGGGTTGTGTTCTGTTCAGGTTGCAAATGGGCCTCTGGAACGGATCCCGTTCGCAACCAGAGGTACCGCTGTATTGCTTAGACATAAACAACGCTTAGAAAGCTGAGGTCATTCCAGTGCTGTTTTCATCCTTTAAAGTGCTGTTTCTTGATTTTTATGGTTTGTTTTTTTTTGCAGATCACATTGAGGGGTTGGTTTTTTTGTTTTTTTGTTTTTGCAATCAGGCCTGTATAAATTTTACGAAACAAATGAGTAAATATCCTGCTATTCCCCCAAAAACAGCCCTTCCACCCCACTCTGTAAACTTAAGTATGTCCTGTTCCTTGTCTCTTTTTTCATCCCAACCCCAACAGATTATGCAATCTCCAAACCAGATATTCTGTCCCGGATTGAACGAGGGGAGGACCTGGGTCCTAGCAAACAGCAGGACGCAGACTCCAGGGAGAACCTCGGGGATGCCAGCGTGGCTGAGAACCCCTTGCAGAAGCAGCGGAGCCATCAGAGAAGCGCGGCTCCATCCTTTGTCCCAGGTGACTGTTCCAAGCCGCTCCTTGGTGTTTGGGGGCTGGGGTGGGAATCTTTGGGTCCCTTTCACCTCTACGGTTCTGTGATCTTTTGGACTAGGTCCTTTTGGACTAGGCCTCTTCTGGTATGCCCCGCGGAGGACCTTAAGGTCCACAAATGACAACATTTAGGAGGTCCCAAGTCGCAAGGTGGTTAGATTGGTCTCAACTAGGGCCAGGGCCTTTTCAGTGCTGGCCCCGACTTGGTGGAACGCTCTGTCACAAGAGACTAGGGCCCTGTGGGACTTGACATCTTTCTGCAGGGCCTGCAAGACAGAGCTGTTCTGCCTGGCCTTTGGTTTGGACTCAGTCTGATCCTTGTGTTTCCCTCCCCTTATGATCTTGATCTATGGGCTACTTTTAAAATGAGGCTGCATTTTAAATTGCATTTTAACCTGTATTTTAAATTGTTTTTTTTCTTTTCCTATTATTTTTTTACTGTAATTTTACTGGTGTTAGCCACCCTGAGCCTGGCTCTGGCTGGGGAGGGCGTGGTATAAATAAAATTTATTATTATTATTATTATTAGTGAGCTCCATGGCCCAGTAGGGATTCGAACCCAGGTCTCTCCCAGGTCCCAGTCCGACACTCTAACCACTGCAACACACTTCCAATGAAAGCAATTCTTGGGGGGGGGGATGATTATTGGTTTGTATGAAGGGTTTTTTTGTTCTTGTTTTTATTATGTATGTTTTATTATGTGTCTACCCAAATGCAATTTTGGTTTTAAACGCAGCATAAGGAGTCTCTATAGGAGTATATTGTATTTTAAAATGGGGTTTCAGAGTTTTTAGGGGTTTTTCGAATGTCTTATGTAGATTTTTCAATGTCATTGTTCTGTATGGGACAATAACAATAAAGATATCGTATCGTATGTATTTTCAGTTTTCACCTTGTATTTTTTTTCTCGTGAACTGCCCGGAGGTCTACAGATGAAGGGCCCTATAGAAATTTGATAAATAATAATGATGACAATTCACAGATCTTAAGAAAGGAAGATATCCCATCTTCTTCTCCCATCTCCTCTGCAGGCTCACCTGAGTCCATCTCGGAGGCTGCCTCCTCCTCACAGGTAAAACAAGAGCAGGAGCCCTTGGCTAAGGAAGAAGAGGAGGAGAGTCCGGGGAGCAGAATAGCCCCAGGTGAGTGATCAATGGCCCTTTTTTAAAATCTGAAAGCCAGAAATGGGTAGCTGTTAGGCCTTTTATTCTGGAGACCAATGGGTCTGGCATTAACATCCCAGTGGGATCTTTCTCCATGAAAAAGGCTCTTAGATGCTTCCAGAGGATATATTGGGGGACCTTGAAGGAGGAGTGTTTGGGGGGAAGAATGTTGACCTGTGTGTCCTTTGTGGTGGAGATGCCTAATCTCTCCACTCCAGTGGAGTAAAGTCAGAGATCCTTCTGCCCTCACAAGAGGCCTTAATCCCTTGCATTCATAGGTGGCAAATACCGATTTCCTTTTCTTCCAAACCTTTAACTCCCCTGCCTTTTTTTTTTTTTTTTTTGCAAGCCAGTTTTGCAGTGAAGTAAAGCTCCAGGGATCAGGCCAAGCTGCCATCTCCGGAGCAAAATGTTGCTTTGTTTGCCTAAAGTCATAGAATAATAGAATAATAATAATAATAATAATAATAATAATAATAATAATAATTTTTATTATTTATACCCCACCCTTCCCGGTTCAAAAACCAGGCTCAGGGCGGCTAACAACAAATTTAAAACACTTAATTGTAAAAGCAGCATAAAATACAGTATAAAAACATGAACAACAATAAAATTCAAAAATCAATTTAGGGGAAATCAGCATTAGACAATTCCCAGGGCTAGCTGGCTGAATTAGTCCTATTTGGGCCAGCGAAGAGGCCAGGGGAGAATTAGCTGTGGGGTCTCAGAGCAGGTAAGGGAAGGGAAGGGAAATAAAAGATCAGGCTGGATTCAAATTAAAGGCCAGGTGGAATAGCTGTGTGTTTGCCACCCTCTGGACCTCTTGTGGAGGAGGACACATGAAGAAGGGTCTCACATGGTGACCACAGGCTCACCTGTGGATTTAGACGCAGATTGTGCATGGATAGATATAACGATACTTGGAATGCATTTTTGTAAAATTATAATGGCTTGGTAATACAGTGGTACCTCGGGTTACGTACTTAATTCGTTCCGGAGGTCTGTTCTTAACCTGAAATTGTTCTTTACCTGAAGCACCACTTTAGCTAATGGGGCCTCCTGCTGCTGCCGCGCTGCTGGAGCACAATTTCTGTTCTCATCCTGAAGCAAAGTTCTTAACCCGAGGTACTATTTCTGGGTTAGCGGAGTCCGTAACCTGAAGTGTCTGTAACCCGAGGTACCACTGTAATTGTATATTCATTGCAACAATAGCAGTGCTTATTGAACTATTTACAGTCTCAAGCACTTTTCCCTCGCCCACTCACTTCTTTCTCTTTATTTGTTCACAAATAAAAAATTAAAATTAAAATAAATTGTTGATGCAGTGGACAGCTGGCTGGTGCACCAAAAATGCAGGGCGCCTGAGGACCTGGAGCCCCACTGGACTCTGGCAGAGAGATCGGAAGAGAATGTCTACCAGGATGTGAACGGCAGCTACGGTCTTGGTCAAGTGTTACCCCAGGGCTTCGCTGAGCAAGTCTTCCCTGGGGCGGCAGAGAGGGATCCTGTCCCCCCGAATGGACCTCACCTCCAACGGGGTTCCCCTGAGCGCCCCTACATCTGCACCGACTGCGGGCACGCCTTCGCCCGCAAGGAGAATTTCACCCGGCACCGCCACTCCCACCTGGGCGAGAGGCCGTTCTCCTGCCGCGAGTGCGGGAAAGCCTTCGTCCACCAGTCGACGCTGACCACGCACTACCGCACCCACACGGGGGAGAAGCCCTACGGCTGCGCCGAGTGCGAGAAGCGCTTCGGCCGCCTCTCGACCCTGGTGGAGCACCAGCGGACGCACACCGGGGAGAAACCCTACGCCTGCGGCGAGTGCGAGAAGCGCTTCAGCCGCCTCTCGACCCTGGTGGAGCACCGGCGTACGCACACCGGGGAGAAGCCCTACCAGTGCGCCCAGTGCCACAAGCGCTTCACCCGTATGACCAACCTGACGGTGCACCAAAACACCCACGCCGGGGAGAGGGCCTATTCCTGCACGCGCTGCGGGAACAGCTTCCCCCAGAAGGCCGGATTCCTCAAGCACCTGCGTTCCCACGCCCGGGAGAAGCTCCACCAGTGCCAGGACTGCGCCAAGAGCTTCGCCTGCAGCTCCTGGCTGCTCCAGCACCAGGCGGCGCACTCGGGCGAGCGGCCAGAGGGTCGCTCCTGCTGCCATGTCTGCGGCAAGGCCTTCCGCTGCCAGCGAAGCCTGAAACTGCACGAGCGCAGCCACGGCGACGCAGCGGGCGGCCCGTGGGCGACGCAGCCCGACAGCCAGGCTCCTTCCGTGAAAACGGAGGAGGTGGGGTGACGGAAGGGGGCAAAGGGGCTGTATGGCGAGGGTCTCCCCTTCTGGAAACCCCCAGAAAAATTGAAGGCAGGCAGCCTGTCTGGCTCTGGCACACAGCTGACTTGGGTTAGCAATAAATCTGATTGTTATTTTTATATATATTCTTTATTGATAATAAAATGTAATATGGAGATTTGGGTTTGTTTCTCTCTTCCCCCGCCTTTTCTCCCTCTTTTCATTAATAATAATAATAATAATTATTATTATTATTATTATTTATACCCTGCCCATCTGGCTGAGTCTCCCCAGCCATTCTGGGTGGCTCCCAATCAAACGTTAAAAACAATACAGCATTAGTTATTAAGAACTTCCCTGAACAGGGCTGCCTTCAGATGTCTTTTAAAGATAGGATAACTGCTTATTTCCTTCACATCTGAAGGGAGGGTGTTCCACAGGGTGGGCGCCACCACCGAGAAGGCCCTCTGTCTGGTTCCCTGTAACCTCACTTCTCGCAGGGAGGGAACCGCCAGAAGGCCCTCAGCACTGGATCTCAGTGTCCGGGCTGAACGATGGGGGTGGAGACGCTCCTTCAGGTCTACTGGGCCAAGAATGTTTAGGGCTTTCAAGGTCAGTACCAACCCTTTGAATTGTGCTCGGAAACGTACTGGGAGCCAATGTAGGTCTCTCAGGACTGGTGTTATGTGGTCCCGGCTTATTTTCATGGCTTATTTTGCCGTGTGTGCCAATAAATCTGATCACACACAGGCAGCCATTGGCCGAGGCAGATCTTAGCGGGGTGATTGTA